CAGCATATCTTCTACAGCAGAGAAAGAGACGGAGCACGGAAGAGACAAACGGGTTGGATAAACATGGGATACGAGAGAGATAGAGAGAGATGATCAGGAGGGGGATGGGGATCAGGAGCACAAGCGACAAAACCAGACGGGCGGGTCGGGCGGGCGGACTCTAAGGGCGGATCGGGCGGGCGGGTGAAAACGGTCGGGTCGAGCGGGTCGCTGAAGCGTCAGTCCTGGAACAATCGCGACGAAAGGGCGAGCGATAACGAGATTCCCGAGTGAACCGTGAATGAGTCAAGAGCAAAAGCGTTGCGGAGTGTCGAAGGCACGGCGCTTCAAGAAACGACGGCGAAATTCAAACGCCGGAGCGCGGTTCCCCCATACATTGTGGAAATGCCACGCGAACGATCCATTTTGAATGAGTTGCGAAGCGGAATCCAGCGAACACTGTTGTTGCGGTAGTCCGGGGGCCCACGTCGCATTCCCAACCTCCAAACACTCTCTCTGGTAAAAAACAGGGTGCGAACCCGGGGACGGGTTGTTATTGGAACGGGCAAGCCTGAGTATGCAACGACAACAACAATATCAACAACAACAACAATCATTATAAGACTGTTCGCTCTTACTTGCCCGTGTCTTTCAAAACGAGTTTCCCACAACCTCGATACCCGCCTTTTTCGTCTTCGAACACACCCCCTCTGGGGGGAGTCTTTCTCTTTGCGGGGGGCGGCGGGCTTAGACAGGCGGGCAAACCTGAACGGGCGGACAATCCTTTGTGGGCGTACGTGTGCCCGCCATTGGAATTGATGTGGGCCCTGCAAAAAGAGGAGGGGGGAAATGAGGGAGAGTGGGAGGAAGGGAGGGGGAGGGACGAAGGAAGAGGGAAAACGCCAGGAGAGAAGGAGTGAAGAGGGGGGCGGTTGATTAGAGGCAGCCAGAGAGAGAGAGAGAGAGAGAGAGAACAACAACAAAATAAGAGAGGCAGAGACAGAGAGAGAGAGAGAGAGAGAGATGATAGAGAGAAAGAAAGAGGGAGGGAGGACGCATGAGAGGGGAGGGAGAAGGGAGGAGGGAGAGGAGGGAGAGGGGATAGGGCAGAGAGCCATGAGGATGAGGAAAGAGAGGAGGGAAAAGGAAGGGAGGGGAGGAGGGAGGATGGAGGAGGGAGAAGGAGGAGGAGCAGGAAGGTACGAGCGTGAACGTTCGAAGAAGTCCTAGGCGAAAGCGCCGTTCCTGAAGGAAGTCTTGGGCGGGAACCCGCGACGGGCGGGCGATTCCCTGACGGGAGGGTCGGGCGGGTGGGACATTCAAGCGGGATGCCTGCGTACACGCCGGTCGGAAGAAGTAGGTAGAAATATGAAGTAGGACGGCGGATAAAGAAGATTGGGTTCGAGCCCGCCCAAATAATAACAAGCAACAGCCAAACCACATCGATTCTTGAAGTAGGAAGGCGCTTGAAACATATTGGGTTCTGGGAATCCAGAGTTACCTACTTTCAACGACCAGCGTGTATGGCGAGAACGCGATTACTAAGTACATTGTAACGGCGTCATTGGCGCAGCATGTTTCCTGAGCGTCGAAAGCGCGATTTCTCAATAAGTTGCATGGAAGTCACAGGCGACAGCGTAATTCCTAAATCAAATGTGAACTGTTCTCTGGCGGGAGCGGGGGTCTTGGTTAAATTGCGAAAAAATCGTGGCTCAATTGCGAGGGGGTCTCAAGCGGGAGCGCCGTTCCTGAGTAAATTGTGAGGAAGTCTAAGATGGGAGCAGGGGTCCTGACCAAATTGCGAGGCAGTCACAGGCGGGAGCACCGATCCTGAGTAAATGGTGGGGAACTCTCAGGAGCGGGGGTCCTGAGTAAATCCGGAAGAAATCTCAGGCGGGAGCCGTCGTTGTTTTAATCCGGGGGGGCCATGGGCACAATTTGAGCACAAGGCTTCCCCCGTCAAAAATCAGGGTGCGAGCGTCGAGGAGCACACTTTGATTGAGAAAAAACAGCATGCGCCAGTGAGGGGGGATCAACCGATAATTATTCTTCAGGAGTGAAAGTTCAACAACAACAATTACAACAATTACAACAATGACAACAACAACAACAACAGCAAACGGCAAACACAACCTGACCACGGAACCTCACCCACGCGCCGAAAGATGGCGCAAGACCGCCCGGCACTCCCAATCTGGTATGTACGCATATACGTTCGGCGCTGACTTGGCGGCGCCCCCAACGCGTATGCAAGCAGCCCGTGCGGACCCCCAGAAACTTACGTCTCTTAATGTACTCCCCATCCTTGGTGGGCTCTTGTTTCCGGTGGACACGCGGCGTAAAAAAAACACCCACGCACACTCTCATCGGATTCTCCTTTTTTCACACTCATCCGAACCACCATCTTCATCACTACCCCCGTCCCATCATGATCACTGGCCACCATCAGCATGGTCATCATCACGACCACCCGCCCACTCATTCTGTCACGATCACTCATCATCAAATCATTCATCATCAT